GACGATCCAGTATGAGAACTCATTCAGAGAAAGTCAAAAGGAGTGTCTATGGAGTGTGTGAAGGGGATCTACAATATAAGAGGATGATACCGGGACGTGAATAGAGTATTGATGGACATTAGACGAACCGAGACTTCCTATAACATGAGTTCGTTGTCGAGAAAATTGTGCGCTTTTAGTGTCTCTTTTCGCCCCAATCCGAATACGGTTGTGTTCATCCACATTTGTGAGTGAGATACCCCCGAAATGACCCCATAAACCATAAAAGGTGTTATGTAACATAACACCAATCATGATTGGTTTACCATAGGGTGTGATAGCATTTTCCGACGCATGGTTCCGCGCCCGCCCAAGCCTCTTCCTGTGCTGTCCTGCAAGTGCAGACAGCGCTACTAGTCTTCTCGTTCGCCTTGATATCTAGCCGTTTCTGATAACTCCAAGGCTGAGCTCTACTTGATAGAGCTTGGACTTGGTAATTGAACAGCCGTCGCTTGTTCTCCCTTGTTTGGTACCGCTGGGAACGAGGTCATAAATAGGATGCTAAATACTGCATAACACCAGAACCGACGAACTTCTGAGCTCATAATCATCGGGGCACGTCTGCGCCGTGGGAGAAAAATGTTAGCGTTATGCGTAGCTGCGACGCATGGTACCAAAATGCAGCTTTTTGACGGGAGCAATTTTGGTTCAGCTGTTGACATCGCCGCTCCGGGTTACGAAAGATTAGAAGAGAAGTATGCCACTGCTACGGGTATTTCTGATGCAACCGCTTTCGTAGCAGGTATAGCTGGGATGCTCTACACCCTTGAACCATCTGTGGAAACTAAGCTAACTCTTGCTTACATCAAAAGTACCATCATGGACACGGCCGAAGGTATAAAGGACAGTAAAGAGGAAAAAACTCTCTCATTCGGCCGCGTGAATGCTGCGACGGCTGCCAGTGAGATACTTGGGAGAAAGACGGTATAATTTTTTCACTCCGATGATGGAGGCATTGATAACTTGTTCGGTGAACTCTCGTCTATCTCAATGGCCTCTCCCCTGCTGGATGGATTTTCATTTCATTCGATTCATTTATTGTAAATGTGAAGGTCTGATGTCATATGCGATCGCAACGCTGGGGATTTAGATCAAGTCATTTGGTTAAGATAATTCTTTACGCCCAACTGATGAGTATGTTATTATAACTAGTGCAGTGTAATTCCAATCGACAAGCCGCTAACAATTCCCTCATTCAACAATTTCCTCATTCCATCATCGTATTTTCGGATGGTGTAAACAATCACTCACAACAGTATACAACATCAGAAACGTCCAAACAATAAATGATGAAGCGTTCTTGTTGATCTTACAAACCTCCTAGTTATTGCCAATGTTATGCGCCACTCCACATTTTGAACTAGCAACTAAACATCACGTAGTGTTCATAGCATAATCGACAAGAACGTCGCTGAGACCAGACGGTCGACGCAGCTGACGGACTGCGATGATATGATCAATAATGATAATTATATTTCGCATGTACAACATCCACTAATCAGTAAACGGATGTTAAATGTCGCCCATAATATACGGCATTATATTTCCGATCCAGAGATGGAAGGGAAGACAAGGCAAAGTAGGCGCCATCGATCGCCTTCTCTTCGCTAACGGTGGCCGGTCACCCGAGACATACTCTCCCAGACGCAGCAGCCATTGATGTTGACCATTAGCCGCCACCGCGTCAGTAGCACCAGTACACAGCCATGCATCATTCACACGTTTTTCTGATCGCAGTTCTCCACCCACCAGCAAAAGACGGTCAGAATGTAATGCCACACATCGAACGAGACATCTAGCTTGCCAACGTCTTGGTATGGTCTCGGGGAGCCCATCTTGGGAAACACCCAGTGGTGGGAGACCTGCTCAAAATATTCCGACGACGTAATAACAGCACTTCTCACATCCACAGGACTCGCTGGTCGTAGTGGAAGCCTTAATCCATGAGAACCCTTCATCTCGACTAATCCAAACGTCGGAACTGCACTGATCGACATCAT